TGTGTAGTTATATCTTCTGAATTTAGCGCATGTTACAGTTTCTGATATATTTTTTCCTTTTGTTTTGTATGTCGAAGGGCATTTGTTTACTTTAGTTCACCTATTTCAAGAGAATTGGTTGCTCATATTAAGAAGGATTCAAGTGTCTTGCCTCGCATAGGTGCATTGAGAGAGGTTAGATTTTTGTTCTTTAGATTGGCCATTGTGCAAACTGGTCTCATTATTGTCTCTTTCTTTCTCTGATTCTCTCTCTTTTTTCTATTGATTATTGAGTTTTCTGTAGATGTTCATTTTTTTTTGCATTGTAATATGCAGATGAATTTGGAGTACTTTGCAATAGACAGTCAGGTATATGATTTGGTCACTTAGTTGAATACTGCACAAAATAAATTCAATTAAAATAGTGGTCATCACTTTTTTTCCCTTGAAAAACAAATATAATGGACTACATGGCGTTTCATATTATTATGACGATCAGTTCATTTGGATTTGCTTTGAACTTGCATTTAGAGACATCAAGGTTAAAATTTGAGATGCAAATTTTGGCAAAAAATGAGCCTTATAAAAACCTTGGTGGTTTAAGCTTGAAAAACCTTTTCCCTAGAATAAATATTATATTCATATATTGGAATATAACCAGTTGATGTTTCCTATCTTTGGAAGATAATGGTTTTGAAAGACTTTAATGTTGAGTTTTAAGCAAGCTATGTTTCTTATGGCATATGATGAAGCCTAGGTGTTTCTTTAACACTATCTAATTTGAGCTAATGGCTTATCAACATTTTTGTTAACTGTAACTTTCTTCCCAATAGGGTTTTATCACTGATAATGGGAAGGCTCTAGAGGACCTTTTTGGTAATGAGGAAAATACTCGCATAGGTGATGCATGTTTGAATGTGATGGCTACCCGCATTGCTACAGTTTTTGCTTCATTAAGGGTATATGCAACGGCTTTTAAATCTTTATCCTCATATGTATTGAGAATTTTCTGAGATGTGTTTATTTGTCAGGAGTTTCCTTTTGTGCGCTACCGGGCTGCCAAGTCTCTTGATTCAATGACCATGACTACTTTCCGTGATCTAATTCCCACCAAGCTTGCTGCTGGAATCTGGAATTGTCTTGTGAAACATAAATCAATTCCTAACTTCCCTCAGAAAGAAACATGCGAGTTGCTCATCCTTGACAGATCTATAGATCAGGTTTGCATATTAATATTGGTTGTAAGCTAATGACATCTGCATTATATAATTATCCAATTTGCTTATGATAATTGGATAATTTCTATTTGTAGATTGCTCCTGTCATACATGAGTGGACTTATGATGCCATGTGCCATGATTTACTGAATATGGAGGGGAATAAATATGTGCATGAGGTATGTTTGTTGTTAGATACTATGCATGCTCCCGATTTCATTGTAAATTTTCTTTTGGTTTTTGTGTATCAAGCAATTGTACTGTTTAGGTTCCAAGCAAAACAGGAGGCGCTCCTGAGAAAAAGGAGGTTCTTTTGGAGGAGCATGATCCAATATGGCTGGAGCTTCGCCATGCACATATAGCAGACGTATGTATGGAGCTTTTCTACATTGTATACACAACCTATATTGCACTGACTTTTCATTTCCCTCAAGTTCTTGTGTTGGAAACTTGTCAGATATGTCAAAGTGGACATGGATATGTGGTCTTGACTGTCTTGTATAAGGAAAAACTTTAACAAAATTGAATGCATCAATGTCAAGCCCATGCCCATGTCCAATACCCCTGATTCTGAGCAACATAGCACTCAGTGTTGAATGCTGATTGACCTTTGATGTATTTTTAGGCTAGTGAAAGGTTGCATGAGAAGATGACCAATTTCGTATCAAAGAATAAAGCTGCACAACTTCAACATGGTTCAAGGTTTGTGTAAATGTGTTTTTACTTTTTTCATTATATGCATGAAAGTTCTTGGGAATATAGTCTTCTCACCTGGCACCTTCTGATTGGTTCATCGATGTTGTAAAAATGAGATAGTTATTCATCACTTGATCCATTTTTAGAAAATTGTTTTAACTGATTTTGAATCTTTATTATATGGTCCTAAGATTCATTATGTAATTATGGACGTTGATAGTTGTTAGCTCTATGATCTACTGATGTGGTCATGGTCATATGCCAAGAAGTTAGAAACAATTACTAGTTCTGAAATGCAACTGCTGAAAATTTAACTTAAATATTTTAAATATGATGAAGCTCTAATATTTTGTGCTTAGGGAATTTATTTGTGACTTTTAGCTATGTCATGACTCTTCTCTCACCTTAAATTCAACATATTTATAGAGATAGCGGTGAACTTTCAACAAGGGAATTACAAAAAATGGTTCAAGCATTGCCACAATACAGTGAACAAATTGACAAGCTCTCCCTTCATGTAGAGGTTAGTTTCTTGTCTGTGCAAAAGCATGAAATTAATTGCCCCAGATTTCTGCCCTCCGCCCCTTGTTAGCAAAGTGGAGAAGCTATCTATTTTTGTTGTCAGACTTATCTATGGTACCAACCTTTTTTATTCCTTTGAATCATCAGATTCTTTGTCACACATACATTGAGTTTTTAGATATTACTTTTTGATACATATACTTAGCTTTGTAGCATCGCTGTTTTTATTATCATATATTTCCTTAGTTTAATGTTCCAGTTTTCATTAAAGCCTTGGAAGTGAAAGAACCTTTTAAATATCTGTATGATTCATGGGAATCCTTTTTTTTTCTGTTCGAGCACTGCCTGTGTTACCAGGCTGATGCCATCTCTTTTTCTGACACAATTACACGCGTAACTTATAAGTTAATACCTCCTATTCATGTCTGAGAGCTGCCAATATTTACCTAAAGAAAATGAATGCTAATGTTTCAACTTCCAAGCTTCATGCGTTTCCTAACCAATTTCAGATGTATGAATCATTATATCTTATAACTGAAAGTAAATATACCTGATTATCAAAACTTTACTGTAGGATCCATGACTTCATGCAGATTTGGTTCTATAATTGCAGATTGCTGGAAAAATCAACCGGATCATCAGGGAGCAAGGGCTTCGAGAACTTGGACAACTGGAGCAAGACCTTGTTTTTGGTGATGCAGGAATGAAAGATGTAATTAAATTTTTGACCACAAATGAGGTCAGAACTTTTACTAGTATAAATGGATGTATTCTATTTTGTCAACATTTCTAAAACCTAGAAATGCCACTTTTTGCAGGAAGTATCTCGTGAAAATAAGTTGCGCTTATTGATGATTCTTGCAGCCATTTACCCTGAGAAGTTTGAGGGTGAAAAGGGTCTTAATTTGATGAAGGTTGCTACATTTTTTTTTTCTATTTTCATTATTTCTGTTTCATCCCCACCCTTCCTTCCCCCCCCCCCCCTCTTCCTACTCCTACAGGATCACAACACTATCCTTTTTTATAGGGGATATGAGATCAAGCAGTTTTCAGGTTGATAATAATGTTTCTCCAACCTGATGTTTTAATTGTTTCCAGTTAGCAAAATTACCACCTGACGATATGAATGCTGTGAATAATATGAGATTGCTTGCACCATCATCAGATGCCAAAAAAAGCTCAGCTGGGGCTTTCTCTTTGAAGTTTGATATTCACAAGGTAAACATCTTGGTGGTTCAAAATCTTATGGTGGTTGATCTGGTGTTACAATTTGCTAATAAATCTGGGTTCTTTTTCTTTTTCTCTGCTCCTTTGCTCATGAATTGCCAGAAGAAGCGAACAGCTAGGAAAGACCGAAGTGGTGAGCAAGAAACATGGCAATTATCACGCTTTTACCCTATAATAGAGGTGTGTTTATACTTAGGTTTGAAATTCTTAGCTTTGAAATTCAAGGACCATTACATTTTGCATTTGTGACTAGCATACTATCTTCAGGAACCACATACTTTTTCAAATCTCAAGTAGTAATTCATTGTTAATAACTAAAGGTTCAAGGAGAGATTATTATTGCAATTTGCCTTGTTATATAATTGACTCCTACATCTCACAATAACTTATCTTAAAGAGTAAAAAGATAGTGTTGCAAGTTTGCTTTTGAAATTGCAAGTGTTCATGGCATGTGAATTGTTTTCCATTTTCAGGAGCTTGTTGAAAAACTTGGCAAAGGAGAACTATCAAAGGATGATTATCCTTGCATGAACGATCCTAGTCCAACTTTCCATGGCACATCACAAGCTGCACCTATACATGAAGCTCCAGTTGCTCATTCCATGAGATCAAGGAGGACACCTACGTGGGCTCGGCCTCGGGGCTCAGATGATGGGTATTCAAGGTCAGAGCTGTCTACCTATCAATTACCTTTGCAGTCATACTCATTTTGGTTCGCTGCTGTGTCAGTCAAATGTGATTTTTGACTGTTTTAATCCGTCAATGCCACTGTCAGGACTGGCATGCATTATCCTTTTGCTTTGTTATCCTTAACGCTATTTCTGTGTGGTGAATCTCATTTTAATGTTTGCTTTCCTACCTCATCTCAGTGATTCGGTACTAAGACATGCATCCAGTGATTTCAAGAAGATGGGTAAACGCATTTTTGTATTTATCATAGGTGGAGCTACAAGATCTGAGGTATGAAAAACTTATGATCTGTCTCCAAGACCATGATGTTATGATGATTGCCATTTTTAATACTTTTATCTCCCAAAATGTCCTTCATTTACAGCTAAGAGTCTGTCACAAGCTTACTGGAAAGTTGAACAGGGAAGTTGTTTTAGGCTCGACAAGTCTTGATGATCCTCCACAGTTTATCACGGTTCTGAAATTCCTACAGCCACAATTTTCTATTCTACTAGCAGAATTCTTTGACAGAACCTAACTTTGTATTGTCATGATCTGCAGAAACTGAAGCTGCTGACAGCACATGAACTCTCTTTGGAAGATCTGCAGATATAAACCTGGCGGAGAAGGTAGGAATGTGCTCTTTGCTCCATCCTGATTTGTAATCATAGATGTGTCATTTCATTATACCCATTTTTTAACATTCAATGGAAAAATCTGCCTCTTGATTAGTGTCACATTTTTACCTGGCTCTTCTTTCTGCTTCTGTATTGTAATTGATGTGTATAATATTATTGTTCTTGATAGTAAATAACTCACTGAATTTAGAAATTAAACATAGTGAACCCTAACACTATTCTGCTTATGACATTTTTTTTTGAAAGCTACATTCGATGAACAAGATATCTGATGCAGCAATGTTAACCTTTATACGAATCTTTGGTACAACCATGATAACTTGAGAATAACAATTTGTTTATAAGGAACTTATAGTTCTCCGGGGAATAGCAATGCCAAGCATGTCACCCCGTGGGTTACCCCAAGTACCTCATTTTACATTCGGTTCAAGAGAGCAAGAGCAAGATGTTAACTCTTAGAACATCTAATTTCACACTTTGGTACAAGAGAGCAAGATGTTAAGTTTTTAACTGCGGATCTGCTTTGTCTTTTGACCGAGCTGGCTTTCTGCTTTTCTCTTCTTAATTTCACCCACTAGCCTCTTGATGTAAGAAATGTAGCCATCAACATCGAATTTCCTTTTGCATCCAGCATAGTTCATATACCGTATTTTCCCAAAAATAGGTCTTTCTCGCCATCCCTGAAATGCCAATGAAGAAGAGCAGGATGGCATGAGAAGCTTTTCTAATTCCTATTTCTATTTATTTTCCAACTTTACTTTCAAATTAGTTTTGTTTGCAGAAGGCCTGCCACTTCAAAGCCTTTTTAACTGCATTGATTTGACATTTTACCCACTGGGGGTACCTTTACCTATGACAATATTTAACAAATCAACGAGAAGGCACAAGTAAAATAATGAAGATAAACCTGGTCATGCACGCCGCAAATTGACCACATGCAACCAACGTAACCATTTGGATCCCTCCCGTCTATTTCATACTGCAATGAAGAGTTTCATGTCGAACGAAGATGGCATTTTTGCACTAATATTATTGAAGCAAAATGTATCATTACTTAATTTACCTTGTCATTTAGATATATGCAAATTTCAAGTGCCTCTTTAGGTACCTTTGTCCACTCAAGAATCTTTTTAGCCCAGTACATGCTGAACACAAATTTGAAACTTTCAGCAAGAGGATTATTAACAATAAAGTTATAGAATATGAGCTACATAAATTAACAAAAGCTTACTTTAGTCATAGTCAGAAACCCAGGAAAAAAGGAATCTGCTTTAGTCAAATTTTATGATGCTAATTGGCTGATTTAATTGTGCCTTCCAGTTTTATCTTATTATTAGATGCATGGCTAACTTTTATCCATATCAAATAGCAGATAACAAGCATGCAAACAACATTCTCAACTTGCAACGAAGAAGAAAAACTTAAATTTATTGAGAAGTCACTTGCCGCATAAAACCATGCATCTTCCCATAGTGAACCATCTCGAGCTGTGAAGCATTCCAAAGCTGAAAGTTGTGACAAAATAATAAAAAACTAAGAGATGAGAAAAAAAAAAAAACTGAAAACTCCAGCAAAGCATAACTAAAGCTGAAATTTACTAATGCATGATGTCATAAAGCAAAAAAAAAAAAAAAACCTCAGCAATATATTTGGAAAGATCAAAGGGCACAATGAAATTCAAACAGTCACCAACAATTTGCTTACAGGATCAGCTGTTTGTGCCTTCTCCAATTGCTCCATCCTGCAGATTCAAGAGTCCTTTGAGATTCACTCAGCACAATAGAGACAATATCCCACTACAAAGTGAATTAATAAGACAACAGAAAACCACTCACGTGTAAGTATGTTCTCGCTTATCAGAGGCATGGTCCATCAAGGTCTTACGTGCCCATTCCCACGCCCCCTGTAATGAATCATAATTGGGCTGATAATAGCAAAAGTTATCAGCAAGTTCTCTACGCACGATCAACTCCTCTAAAAAGGTATCAACTGCCTTCAGATTAGCAAGTACGATGAAACAGTGAACCATACATCAGATATGACAAACTACAAGCGAAAGCAAACCATAGAATGGTTTGAGATTCAACTGCAACAAACCTGAGCATAAAGTTTCCGGAAACTACGTGCCTCTAAGGCACATCTCTGTGCGGATATCTGCCCAAAATGCAGATATGGAGACAAACAAGAAAGAGCTCTTGGTTTTAAAGGAATATTCCGATCTGTAGAATAATTCTTCAACCTTTTTGTCAAGAATCCATCTTTGTTTCCCATCAGTGCTTCCATTGCCGCAGTTTCTCCTGGTTCGCACCATTCAATTTCAGGTACTTCTGCCCCATTCCTGGCCATAGGATGTATCAGCATTATCAACCCAAAATACTCTTAACTCAACTCCACCCAAATAGATAAATTTCTGACCTCAAAACATCGGCAATGTGACTGTCCCAATCAATCAACTGATTCAAGGCATCCCATTTCTTGTTTGGTGGTTGCAAAGTTGGAAAGTCAATTAAGTACTCAGGAAGCAGTTTATTTATCTTACCCCTTATCGTCTTAGCACTATACTCCAACTTATCCGACGCAACCCAAATAGGAACTATATTGTGGGCATCAACCTCGTGTATGGTCACTGAATCACTCACTCTCTTACAAATTTCATCTTTACAATTTCGAATCTGCCTTAACGGCGAGAAATCTGTAACTAAAAGTGAAGCTCCACATTCTCCAAGAAATTTTGATATTGTTTCTTCAGCTTCTCCCTAAAAACTCAGCACGCAGGAAAAGCTAAATTTTGGTACCAAGCATAAAAAACATAGAATCACAGCCTTCTATTTTCATTAAGCAAGAACAATGCTGCTAATACAGTCATTCATTTTAGACAATTTTTTCATATCATCGAATGAAGAATCCTATACAACTAAGCTAAGCATAATTTAACAAACATAAGTAACAAATTTCACTTTTTACTTGAACATTCAGAACAAATTGGTAAAAAAAAAAATTGTTTTTTGTCAACACTTTCTTCTAAATTGGACCATAATTGCAAAACACAAAAACTAAAAAATGGGTTATCTTTAAATGCATTAAAAAATAAATTAAAACCTTACTTGAAACAAGAAGAATGGAATCTGAAGAGCATCCTCAATGCTTGTTTGTAATTGACGTAAACCCTTTAGCATGAACCCTAGTTGCCTTGCTTTAGCCCCCAAGAATTGATCAAAGAGATTGAAAGCTACAGCCACAGGCACATTCGCTTTGTTGGCTTGATCAACGGCGTGGATCAAAGCCCAGTTGTCTTTTAACCGTTGATCTCTAAACATCCAGTACACCACGGGACCTTTTTTCAGTGGCTGAGATCCTTCCTTCAGGACATGGATCCGACCCGGTTGTACGGAGGTTAGTTTAGTTGATGGTGAAGATAGAGAAGCCATGAAAAGGGTAAAGAGGAATCGAAGCGACGAGCATCTGCTACCGTGAGCCAGGGGGGTGGAGGGCGTAGGCTAACAAGGCGGGGGTTTGAGGAAGAAGAGAAATTGGAGGGAAGCAGGCAACCAGAAACAGTTCAAGGTTGTGGTTTTGAAACGATATACGTGGACCTGAATAAAATTGACACGTGGCATAATGCCATTTTGTTTCTAACTGTTGATTTGGAGCGGCGGCGGCCTATAGGCGTTCTGTACTCCTTCTAAACTTCAACACTTCAACATTTTACTCTTATTTTTTCACCGAAAGGAAAGGGTAGTGGTGATAATTGTTTAATTGCTAGTTTTGATTGAATTCAAAATTCATATGTAAATATCATGAAATAAATATAAATTATTCAGTTTCTAAAATCAAGATAAAATTTATATCTTGGATTTTATACTTAAGATTAACATCAACAAAGAATTATAAAAAATTTTCTAATTGAAAATCACTTAGAACAAAATAAATTAATTTATGTGATGAATCAACTCTTTTTTAGTTTATGCATTGTCATTTTCCTACTTGTAGTTGTGCCATCAAATGGATCTCTCAGACACAAAGTCTGAATCTTCAATGAAAGCAATATATATTGGATAACATGTTCTAAATTAGTTTGCAGCAAACTAATACACACACTTTTTTTGGTTTAGACATCTTATCAAGTTCTATTCAAACAATTTTGAAGGTTGTAGGGTGTTCAAGAAATGATGGTCTAAAGCCTGAAAAAAGAAAGTTGCAGCAGCAACTACATAAAGCAAAGACACTTGCTCAGCTGAGGATTGCATTCAGTGCCCCACATATAGCAACACCATATTTGCTGCATGCTGTGCTGCTAATTAGTCCTAACTTTTATTTCCATCTTTGTTGAATTGGTTGTGGTTGCGCTTTTCATTTTTTAATGTTGTCACTTGTCATTACACGTCCAGCTTGCCTAAAGACAGATTTCAATTTTGTAATATACATCTTCATCAAGCGATTGAGAAATGAGAAGTGTGAATTTTGATTATTGACTAATAAGATTGCATGTGATATGAAGGGGGATTCATATATAAAACTGATTCTTGAGCTTGCATTACAGCTTATAAGATCTTAAAACTTTTGATTAGGTGCCTCTAAGTGCAGGATATCATATATTTGACATATATAGCTTTCAGTCGCTTTCAAATTGCTTCAAATTTCACACTTTCAGACATTTGTTCTTCTTGTCGGTTGCGAGGTTGGGCTTGAGATGTTTTTCCAAAATCATTCTTGATTTCTTCGATAAAACGAAACCATGATTTCATGGATACTATTTATAATTATTATGTGAATAACATATCAATCCCTTAAAAAATTTTGTAAACCTTTTAGTTAGTTTCTGTTCTTTTGTCTGCTTTGTTAGTTTCTGTTTTTTCTCTTATTTAGATCAATCATGCATTATCAGTTATTAATAACTCCAGAATCTTGAATTAGTAGATGATGTATTTATTAACAAATTAAGTTCTTGCATCGTTCATGATCATCAAACTGTAGACCCTCCAATTATATAAAAGGCAGTATGAAGTACTATATACAGAGGTATTGGCCGGTGTTACTTTTAAAAGTAGTATTTGAAACTCTAGATCATATATCAAGCTGTTTTGCCAGGGAACAGTCAAAACACTAATTAAAGTTAGTCCATGGAAGAATCATGAAATTTTAGGTAGAATTTTGTCATCACAACTTTTCCCTATTAGTAGTTTGAAATTTTATTTTCATCAAAGCCATTTTTCAAGGTATTGACTTGCTGAATCAATAGAGATCCCATGAAGAAACAGTCAGTGTTCATCTGATAATATATATATAAAGGCAATAGCCTTCAATGCTAAGTCATACATAGGGATATACTTTTTCTGTGTTTACTCTTTTTTTTTATGAAGATATGCAGTTAGACATCAATCTTAGTTTCCACAATATCATTCTTGATTAGTAACTTCAAGAAAACGAAATCATGATTTCACCCCATATTGTCTAAAATTCCTATGCAGAAAGTGAAAGTAATAAATACTACTAGCTATAAAGCAAATGTACTTGATTCTAATTTCCTAATCCTATCTGCTCTTTATTCTCTGATTCTTGTATTTATTTTTAGGTTATACCAAAGTGACGACTGATTTCCAATAATAATAATCTTTAGTATTTTCCTGTTCGATGCCCGACAAAACCCCCCGAATCCATGAAAATAATGCTGCTAAGGTCACATCAGCAAAAATCAAAGAATTGTCAAGTAACGGTTCTCGTGCTAAATGACCAATCTGTTGAAACTTGAAAGTGCTCCTATCCTATCGGACTCATAGCAGATAGAGATTCGGTTCCTTTGATCTCCTGGTAGTAGTACTGTAGGGCCTTGAAACTTGAAACCCCAAGCAGGCAACCTACCAACACTATAACTACAATATAGTTATAGATTTCCCTAAAGACGAACAATATGGTCTGATTGATATATATAGATATTAATGAAACTAATAGGTTCAACACCAGAAAAAACGATTTGTCTTTATATAAATAACATAAAGATTAATTTCAACATATTTCTGCACAGCTTGGGATTGTCTCCTTCCAAAATTCATATCTTCTCTTAGGTTATTCCCAATAGAAACTTGTTGGTCTGTGTTTGGTACACAAATTTGTAAGACAAGATTGGTTGGTTGTACTAACTAATAAACAAGGACTATAAGCCTTTAGTCCTCTTTAGCAAGATAAGACTGATGTCTCAGCTGGAAAGATGCCTGAGTCAATATATAGAATTAAAAGCATGGAGGTCAAGCCTTGTGAATTGTTGTGACCCAATTCGAAGGACAAAAAATAAGTAATGGTAAAAGACAAGAACAAAAAAAGAAAAAAGGACATAAAGGAGATTGACCAACCAGAAGCAATGTCTTCAAGGAAAATCCAACGTCTAGTTTCCACTTTTTCCCATAAACGAAAAAAAAAGGGAAATTGGAAAGTGGCAATGGTTGGCAGTCTTTTAGAATATAAGTAATCTTCAAAGGTTCTTGTTTATGTCTGTTGGTGGCTTGTGACCCTTGTGAGGAACGTGAAACTTTCATGGCTTCTTCTTGTTTTTTATTTTTATCTTTGAACTTCAAAAGTTGTCTCATAATTAAAGAATTTTGACCCCTCGTGATACACATTTTGTCCTTAAATTCCAAGTTAACAAACTTTGTTTCTTTTTTTTTTTTTTTAAAGCTACTATATATATTTATCTAATCTGATGATTAGCTTGGGAAAACAAAAGCTCTTTTACAAAAGAGACCAAAGCTTACAGAAATTGAAGAAACAGATCCAACCTCATTAAAATCCAACTACAAAGAGTGAACTATTTAGATTAGACCAATGTAAAATTCCATCCCTCCAATCCCCTGTCCCTGGCTAACATAACTTTTCTTTTGGACCCTTGGATATAATCATTTAAAGTGGACAGTATTACAGGCATTAAAATAATGCAGATGATTGTGATCGAACCCATACTTTACATGTCTTCTTTAGGTTTTTTAATTACACAAGTCCAAAAAGTTAAATGCAAAAAAAAAAAAAAAATTACATTTAGATAATGCATTCACATTTTTTTTTAATCTTATTCTAAGGATTTAAGTGAAAATTTTAAAATCTTTATAGGTTATAATAAATTTTTGAAAACAAAATTTTATGTGAGTTAGCCTTTTTTTTTTCCTTTGTAAATTATTCTTGTAAATATTTAAAAAGAGAATTCATGAATCATGAAACACCCAATTTCAGTGCCCCAATCAACGCATACATGTTATACCAATATTACAAAGTCTGCTTAATCATTGGAAAAGCATGCTTATGATTTAAAATTTCAGTGTTTCGCCAAAAATGGGAAATTGAGTAATAATGTTTACATGTTATTAAGACCGAAAAAATATCTACTTCAAATAAATTGCCGAAGCTAATCACACACCAAATAATTAAACTTGCATGTATTATTTTCACTTGACCGCTGCTGCTAGAATAACAATAAATTTTCTTTAATTAATACTCCACTTATTACTACTAAATTTTTTTTAAAACTAAAATCATATATATAATTGCTTAATTGCTAGCTGTTATTCTACTTGCCAAACCGGGTTTAATGCTAATGACATAGTATTGTATTTATTAACTCACTTTGCTGGTATTTTAATTTTCGTTTATTTTATGATTAATATCATGAATGATTCTTAAATTATAGTAAAATATAAATATAATATCTAAATATAAATTTATTAACTAATATGATATTTATGAAGTTATTTATCCGTCTCATATTATTATTTGAAATTAATTATCTTAAAATTGAGTATCATTTTATTTAATAAATTCATAATTTAGATAATATATTAAAAAATTTTAAAATTCAGATAACACATTAAATATTTAAATATGATTTAAAAGTTGTTCATTACATTAACTATTTATTTTATTACATTAAAATTTAAAAATACTAATTTGTTAATTGTTACAAGTTGCCCAATGTAAAATAAATATTAAAAGAAATTAATCAAATTCCATAAAACTATATCAATCCATGAGCTGGATCAAACCTTATTGATTTTGATAATCTTTTATCCAATACTTGAACAGATCCATTTATTGTTTAAAATATTTTTTTAAAAATCATTTTTTAGTGATATTTTATAAATTTTCATACTGTTAAATAAATAACAATTTTTTATTTATTAAATAATGATTTGGATCAGGATGAAACTTTAAAACTCATACTCAAGAGACAAGCTTGCGAGCTGGATGGGTAAATCAAGCTCATAGACAGGTTTAAATATTCATAAGAATTCCTTGTTGTTGCTTAACCAATGCATCACTTTTACCAAATAAATTAATGGGTTTTTTTTTCATTTTTTAAATCTTACAACTCATACTTTCTTTAAACTTTTGTCTAATCACGTGTAACACACTAATATATTTATTAATTACCTAACTGGGGTAATGTGGAAATAAAAAAATGAAATGACTAAAAAATAATTAAGCCAATCCAATCACATATCTTTTGATGTAAGCAATCCAATGAACTAGGAATGTACGTACCCACCAAATCTTATTTTTTAGATTTTATACAGTAGGTTGGCAATATAAATGTTTTTTTT